CTCATTGATTGTTATTGTTGTTGGGCTTAATGCCATTTTTCAGCACACGATAGGCTATTCATGGCGGCCAGTATTAATGGTGGAGGAAGAAACCGGGAAATCACCGGAAAGAACCACCGACCCATGAGAAGCTACTGGCAAGCTTTCTCACATATCCACATTCTCGCCAAATCCTAGACTCGAACACCTGGCTCATTGACATTGGTGAAATAGGGAATCAGACCAACTTTACTGCAGCACCTCAGACGCTTTAACTGTCTCTATTTGTTCATTGGAAGCATCTGCATGATAAAACTGTTGATTATAGAATTTTTTTTAAAATGGCATCCAGCAAGAGATACATGTTTAAGACGAATGGGGAAAATAAGTTGTTCATTTTGTGACTTTACAACAAAGTTTGTGAAAATTTGACAGTGGGGTAACTAGGTATCTTTCATGTTCTACCAAGTGCCTGATTACCCATCAAACAATGCAAGGGTATATAGGTGACTTTTGTGGGTTTTTTTTACAGTGGCCAGTATAAAAGGGGAAGAAAGAACCTAAGAAAACTGGAAAGAACCACCAATCCACAAGAAGATACTGGCATGCTTTCTCACATACCTATATTGGCCGAATCTGAGACTCAAATCCATATAGACAGAGGTGCTCTGGCAATGATCAGTAATGGTGAAAATAATTGCATGCACATTATTTGAGCCTGTGGGTGCGTGTGTGTGTGTGCACAATGTGAATATGCATGTTTAAGAAAACAAGAAAAAGAAAAAGCATAATAAATACCTGTTGGAATAATTGATCACAAAATTTTGTGAATTCTGAAATTCTGTCAGTGTTTTGTTTGGATCACCTGAAAATAAAATTATGAATGAATTTATGGCCTAATCATCTTTTTTTTGAAGATATACATCATGTGTTATCCAACTGTCTCTCAAAATAAATTGTTTACAAGTTTTGTTGTGAGAACTCCCCTCTCTCCAAAAAAATAAAATGCATAAAAATTCATTTGAAAGGAATAAACTTGGATCATTAATAGTTTTATCATTATTAACATGACAGTAATAATGAGCTCTAAATTAACAGTATTGTATATACTAGGGTATAAGCAGAATCAAACTACAAACAACAAAGATCCTAATTGCCCTTGCATAATGCACCTGCATAATAGAGTCTATGTTGTTTGTTCCACTGATTACTCATAACTGCACAGTCTGTGCAGTTGGACTTAGAAGCTAGTATATATGGTAGTTCACTAGCTAGAGGATAGTATATTTCCTGTTGGAAAAGTAGTTTTTATAATTTAAATAGTCTGATGGCTGGTAAATTTCTAGGTGTCTGACATTGTTTTGTGCAAAATACTAGTGAAAATTCAGCATGACTTGTCCTTCTTGCTACAAAGTTATGCATGATTCTAGGTCTGCATTGCAAAGGGACCCCCCCCCATGAAATGACATGTCAGCACCGATTCTTTTGGTTATCTGCAGATGACTGAGCAAGTAAGTGTCTGTGTGTGTGTGTGTGTGTGTGTGTGTCTGTGTGTGTTTGTGTGTGAAATCTGCAAAGTGATAAAGACAGGAGACCCTACTGACCTAATACCATCAGAATTTGATTCTATGATGGCAGTTTTTCATTAACAACAGAAACGAAGAAAAAAAAAATTCTGCTGACAAATTCAAAACTATTTTAACATAATTATTTTGAAGAAATAAGATAATTGCTGTAAATTTACTTTCTCTTACTAAATAGAGGTGGTAAAACAAGTCTGTAATCAGATACATGAAAAAATCTACCATGTTTAGAATTAAGTCCAAATGATAAATTGATTAGTTACATCAAAATTAAAATAAAAACAAAGTATTTAGCTGCTGAATTTAAGGGCAAAAATGTGAATTATAGTTTCAGCATAATCATTAAAGATTTATCACAATGTCTGATCAAAATGAAACAATGAAGAGTTCAGCTATTATCCACTTAGTGGCATCAGCAGTAGATTGTTATTTTAACACTAACCATAGGACTAAAATAAATCAGGCCTTTACCAACCTTAGCAAAAGTATAATTGCCCTTGGGCAAGTGAATTTTATATTTTCACAATTGTACTTGCCCTGCCAATGCATGTTACTATAAATTTTTAGGTCCATCTGGATATTGCTTGACCATGTCAAAATTAACTTCTCTAAGCAATAAGCAATAGTACCATCATTTGTTCTTTATTAAGTCCAGGATGTAGCAATTCAAGTCCACCTTATAGCCAAAAAGAGCCTTTTTTATCTTCTATAATTCAAAGTTGTGGGTTTGACTCCCATACTGTAAAAATCCCCACATGGTGGAGATAGGACAGTTTCAAGATCCAGGAGACAGGTATCTGAATGGCCACAGGTAAAACTATAAATCAACCACTTGCTCCTTGCAATTAAGGATTTTTTTTTTAGGACAGACAACATAGACAGACAGAAATGACAGAAACCATAATACACCTTATCTAAAAGGCAGGACTTTTTTTTCTCACAAAGAATTTACAAATACTGCAGAAAAGCCTAATGGTACTTCAAAACAAATTATTAATTGTTGTTTGCAAGACATGAAACAAAGATGTATACTGATCATTAAATCCCTATAAAAACATTTATATATTAATGTTGTCTATTTTAATTGACATAGTTATGCATCTGTTTGAATTGATATATTAATGTGTCTATTTTAATTGACATAGTTGTGCATCTGTTTATTGATATATTAATGTTGTCTTTTTTAATTGACATAGTTATGCATCTGTTTAATTGATATATTAATGTGTCTTAATTGATATATAAAAGTATCTTTTTAATTGACTTAGTCATGCATGTTTTAATTGATATATTAATGCATCTGTTTTAATTGATATATTAATGCATCTGTTTTAGCTTAGATATTAATGACCATTTTAATTAACATAGTTATGAATGTTTTATTTGATAAATTAATGCATCTGTTAATTGATATTAATACATCTGTTTTAATTGATATGTTAATGCATCTGTTTTAATTGATATATTAATGTATCTGTTTTAATTGATATATTAATGCATCTGTTTTAGCTTAGATATTAATGACCATTTTAATTAACATAGTTATGAATGTTTTATTTGATAAATTAATGCATCTGTTAATTGATATTAATACATCTGTTTTAATTGATATGTTAATGTATCTGTTTTAATTGATATAATAATGCATCTGTTTTAATATATATGAATCTGTTTTAATTGGTATATTAATGCATCTGTTTTAACTGATACAGTTGCACATATTTTAACTGGTGTCTATTTGAGCTGCACAACAAGGTGTTCTACCTTGTGGTTTTGTTTTAATTTTGTTGTGCAATTAGATTATTGTTGTTGATACTGTTTAGGTATCTAACTTAGTACTCCTGCATAGCAGTTCAGCTCTCCAACCACTGGACTACTCCTCTAATACTAAAGTGATATGAAGGAAGTAAGTAAAAGAAAATATTCCTCTGTGAAGAGCATCAATAAAATTTAAAGTTTTGAAAACTATTCCAAATTCCAACCATTTTGGTTTCCAAAAACAAAACAATATACAGTATTTAAATTCTGAAAGCCTCCTAGAAATTGCTCTTGGACAATCAAACAAAGAGCAGTTTGAATGCTATTAATGGAATGTTTTCCAAATTATTTAACGTCAACCTTTCCCTATATTTTAATTCATTTTGTTTGACAAGACATTCATTGTATAACAAGATGAAACTACTGGCATACAGAGCTTCCACTGATATCTTCCTACACACTGTAGGTAACAAGATAAGAGAGGCCATGCCTGATCCATTGACATCTTGGTACAATCCTTTTTCTTTGAAGGTCTTCGTAATTTAGCATAAGTATATATTGTTTCATCAAATATCTAATCAAAAAATAGCCATCTCTCTAGCCTGATCTTTTTACAGGTATCCAATTTAAATTCAGAACACAAATTTATTTGTATTGGATTAAGTGCAGGTCTGGCTTGTGCACTACAAAATGTAAATGGAAAAGTGATCTACTAACAGGAGGTAAAATTAACACCTCATAGGGCAGAGGTCTGAAATCACAGTAACCAAAAGAATGACAACTTTCAAAGTCATCATGACAAAGCTAAAATATTCCAAAATAATTTCTACACTTTACAGAGTGATTTATAAATTTGATACCTGAACAGGATTTTAACCTCCTTCCAAATATTATTGCCAAAAAACACAGAACCATAATTTTTTAAAATTAAACCCTGTCACGGAAATCCTGAAAATGCTCTTTACTTTTTACACAAAGAGAGCTTTTTAAACTGCCTATAATTATTTTTCTGTACACTTTTGCAATAATTCATTTTCTAGTGTAATGATTAAAAATACAAACTTTTCTGCTGAGTAAAGAAAATATTTGTATAATGTTAAGTTATATTATAATAATAATAATAATAATAATAATAATAATAATAATAATAATAATAATAATAATAATAATTATGTTCCAAGGTACATTAAGTTTGAATTCATGAGAATGTCAAAAAAAAATCAAGCCATATATTCAACCAAATACATGTATGTGAAAAAAGTATCAGGACCTTGCATTTTGCTAGTAACAATTCTGATATTGCTAGCTGAAAAAAATATTTACTAGAAGAAAAAATATCAATATTTTGGAAGTCCTTAAATTGTTAATTTCAAAATATGATATATACCAATTAAACTAATAAAAATAATAAAATAAAAATATTCTAATAAAATTAAAGTGTGTGTAGTTCAATTTTAATGTAGCTTTAAAATCTCAAATCATATTACTGTCACCAGTGTGGCAGTTTATAGTGCTGTCTATTTAGTACTGGGGTATCATGCCAGACATGTAACATTGTCCCATGCAGTCACTTTATCCTGGCACCATACTAACCAGTCCTAACATTAACTTCCTGATTAATGCTGAAAGCCAAGCAAGGTAGCTACTTGTACCATTTTTTTAATTGTCTTTGGTATAACCTGGTTGGGATTCAAACCCTCTGACCTCCTGCATCCAAGGCAGATGCTCTGACCACTTAAGCTACTGGAGCAGGAATTTACACTGACAACGGCCCAATTTTAGTTGAAAATATTAGGTACTGGTATTAAAAAAAGTTAATTTTGAGCCCTGTTTATTACGATCTTTGCAAGTCCTACTTCCATTTTCTTTGATAATCTCCCACATTTAAAAATTCCTCCCTTTTTAGAAATGAGTGATGGCAGAATTTACCTTTGAATTTTAAGTTTTTGAATAAAAAAAAAATAAAAACAATAAAAAAAATTATAACAATAAGAGGAATAGCAACAATACTACTGCTACTACTAATAATAATGATAATATCAATAACAACAATAATAGTAGTAGTAGTAGTAAAAAAAGATTATAGATGTCTGTAAACACCAGATGCTATCCACAACAATTTTCCTTATTTATCATCTTTACTACAAGAGACAAGGATAAATGTTGCTAAAAAACATGTATGGAAACACTGACAATGTCCTACATGATTGTCATTTAATTTTTTTTATTTACTGCTGACAATATCAGCCTTGGAGATTGAATATTTCAAGTCTTTTGGAAGGATAAAAGAGGTACTTCAGGACATGAAGGCATTGTATTGGGCTGTCTCATGTCCTAACCCCACTTGACAGGTGGAAGACTGGCCCATTGAAAATGCTGAATCCACTGTAAAGAGCATTTTATATGATTGTATTTACTTGCGATTGTGCTACATGATATTCAGCATTTTTAATACTTTTATTAATCAGTGAAAAGACTGACATTTTGGCTTGACAATTTTAACCTATGCAGATATATTTGTATTTACCTAGTTATACAAAGATGGCTATCACTTCTGATCTTACAGTTGCTTGGCTCCAAATAGATGGATAAAAAAGGTATGGCAGTGTTGCAGTGTGTGTCCTAAGCTTTCGTGTTTTCTCAAGAGCCTTATTCATGGAAGTTTGCCATTGTTGTAAAATTGATTTAGTCATTGTACCAGAGGAAGTGTTCTCCTGGCACAAAAAGCCTGAAGAGGGCTTGAAAATGACTTGGCGACATCACCAAGTCTTTTTGTCTAGTTATAATTAATGGCTATGCAATTTTTTGGGAAGCTTTACATTAGACAATAGTCTGTAAGTCTGGCAAGACGCCATTTTCACTCGATCTTCTTCACATTACGGGCAAATTGATAAATATTAATAGAGCTGCACTATGTTCCATCTTCCTACATCCAATCTGTCATTTTTCTTGGGGGGGGGGCTGCAGCCAATGCCATCAGATAGATATCTCAAGGGATGTGTATTTATGTATTCTTGAGAATTCTGCTTTGATGATCAGTAAGGCCATGGTTTGCATGATGAACCCACATTGAAATGAAAAGTTTAACCAGAACCTCAACAAAACTGCAATCAATTCCATCATTATTTTTCAAAAATGACCAATAGCATTTAAATTAACCACCATCTATCTCTCATAAGCCAACAAATGTTTATTTATCAATAAATTCTTTTAGAATCCTCTCTAGCTGAAACAATCACTTGCATTAAAAATTTCACCTTCTTGCTCAGTTATTCAAGTTATATGTATTTATAATTTAGAAGAAACTGACTTGAGTGACTTTTAGATTTATTCATGTAATCCAATTATTGAGCAAGTACACTTTTGCAGACAGTGTTTGAACTATTTTATGAATACTATGGTCCTGTGCTCTTTTTTCAACACTCCAAAAATTCTACATTATGCAGTCTTGGAATTGCTGTTGTATGGTCCTGTGCTATTTTTTCAACACTCCAAAAATTCTACATTATGCAGTCTTGGAATTGCCTTACAAACCCAAACCGTCACACTATTTGCTTGTCATCTGAGTAAGTTCTGGAGAAACATAATCCATGACTATCTATATTCACAATGAATTCCTAGTTGCTATAAACTAAACACAGTCAACTCTACATCTATAAAATATTTATTAAGAGGGAAGCATTTATTTGAACTGCATTAAATGCAAAGAATGGTTGGTTGGTTGTTATGAATTTCTTAGCACATGATAGGCAAAACATGATGGCCAGAACATTTGGTGGAGAAAGAACCCAGGATGACTTTGGGAACAACCACTAAGTAAGTTACTGGCAAGCTTTCTCACATGATTTTTGCCTGAGCAGGAGACTTGAATCCAGCTGGACATTGGTGAGATGTCAGTATTCTGTCAAGGCTACTGTCTTAGATCACTCATCCACCAGAAAAATGGACTTTTTAAGTAAACATAATGAGCATTTTATTTTGACAGAATGAATGTTTGTCTGCCCTGAGTTATCACTCTCAAGCAAAAACTAATTTTATCTTCAATTAGTATAGAATCCATGTCAGTCTTGCCTCCAAGAGTACTCCAAGCTCTCTGTTTATTCCCCTCTGGTTATAAAACAGTGGCATAAATGTATATAAGCTTGATTCTAAAAGTTTTATAGTGATATAACTTAGTCCTGTCTACCAACATGGGTCCCAAAAATAAAGAGGTCTCAAACTAACTACATACAACCCCAAATTTTCAAAAAATAGAGGATTTTCAATCTAATCTGCTTGTTCTTTAATCAAAATCAAATCAATTTTTTAAAACCTTTTTTTTGCATGGATAGTTTTTTATCTACCAAATAATACCAATGAAATTTTGTCTGCCGTAATAGTACCATATACTTAAATGTGCTGTCCTAAAAGACTTCATTGCAAGATTTTATCCAAACAATCAATCATTTCAGTGTGAATGTCTGTTTCTCTATCATCTGCACTGTAGCTAAACTGTAAATATTACAAGTATAATCCATGAACCAGTCAGTGAAATTCAATTTGACTGGTGCTTTGGCTCTTTTTGCTAAATTTCACATGCATTTGTATTCTTGAGGTGTAGCAGACATAAATGTATAACACTTTTACAGTTGGCAGATCTCCCAATTACAAGCAAATTAAGCCTCTTAATTTTGTAAGCATTTGCTGCAAACAAGAATGAAATCTGAAGTGCCAGGACAAAAGTAAATACCAACAAAGCAGGCAATCTAATCAGGAACTCTAGAAGCTATGGATCTCTGTTGTGTGTGCAAGACCACAATTGAGACAAGTGTTCTGCCAAGTGATTGCGCATGTCAAATAGAGAACCCAGCAGGTGAATCTTTTTAAAAGGAAGTGGTGACCATGTTTAACTTAAGTTTGAAGAGTTTTATGGATAGGCTCTTGAGGAACAAAAACACTTTTCTTCTCACAATGGAACCAAAGCCCTCCATACTTGTGCCTGAGATGGGGCAGACGGGAAGCTAATGGCCCATCTTGCTGATAGCTGTTGGAATTTTCTGTGTTTTACTAGTTCAGTTTTATTGTTGTGTGTTAAGAAATGCAGTTTTAGTTGAGACTTTTGCCTTTGTACTGGACTCAAAATTAGAGCCCTTTTAATGCCACTGAATACTACAGTAGTGTTATGCAGACAATGTAAACATTCAGATGCACAAATAAAGAGCACATCCACAGCTACATGACAAATTGCATGTATATATATGTACAAGTCAACAATACAAAAAAATGTTAATTAAAATACATAATGTAGCATTATTTTGTGGTCCATGATGTTCATATTTTTTTAACAAAAAACATTTCTTAATCCACATGTGAGTTACAGTGGCCCTTTCCCATATAGCTGTCATTATAACTACTCTTGTAAAGCATTTACTGATTCCAATAAAGTGATTAGTTCTGATTAGTCCTACTTTTCCACTTAATTTTTTGTTACTGGTTAATAAGATTACAATTTCAAATCATTACATATTGGTACCCTATTTGAGTACTTCTACACTTATTTACACTCAGTAAAAAGATCTCTTGTTGTATACACTCAGGATAAGGATCTCTTAAGTCATTTTTAATAAAACTGAGTACATGTATAAGGATCTCTTAAGTCATTTTAATTACACTCAGTATAAGGATCTCTTGTAAAGTAATTTTTTTATTACACTCATTTTAACAGATCATGTAAATAAATTTTTGCCACATAAAAATGTACCCAGCTTTAAAAAAGATGAATTGGTAGATAAACTTTTTTTAAAAATTAAAAAATGTCTAATATATGCATTCATAACTTCTCATTCATTCAAATTATAATTCTTAATGTGAACAATTACAAAGTTTTAAATACTGAAATGACAAAACATCTAGAATAGAGCCTATGAGAAATGGTCCAAAAATAATGCTCCCTGAAAAAGTACAAAGTCAACACATAAATTTTTAAAAAAATGGATATATATATATATATATATATATATATATATATATATATATATATATATATATATATATATATATATATATATGCGCGCACACATAATTACACCCAAGCCATTGTGTTATACAGTTATCAGTATATTTTTTTCTTTAAAGTTAACAATTGACAAATTGAAAAAACAATATTACTCACATTTTAGTCACAATGTCAGGAAATAAAATAACAATAAAACAGCCCTTGCATCTTTCTATGAACAATTTCTTATCTAAATACAAACTTATAATTTTGCAAACACATAAAATAATGGTATCTGGTATAGGAAATGTCTGAAATGGCACATTTATGCTGGATGAGTACAGATGCTTATAGAAATAAAAACAATAATTTCATTGTTGCAAAGTTTACTTCAGTTTATCCCCCCTATGAAGAAACATTCCATGATTTCAATTCAAACATTGCACCTGTGTATTGTTGATGGTCACAGATAAACGATTCAGAATGGCTCACTCCCCCTTGACTGATCTTGCAAACAAATACCTAGATGAATTTGCACGATATGGGCTATTAAGCATTCCCTTTGTGGACAATAAACAAGAGCCCATGAAAAATTGTTATTTGGCATCAACTGAGAAAACACAAGGAATATCAGTCCCATGACAAGGACCATTAGCTATCAGTTGAGATCATAAATTTACAATTCATAAAACCAGAATCATTTAAATTAAGGGGCATGCTAGTGGTATTGACAGATTTTACGGGTCTAGCACAAAACTGAAAATCTTAAT